GGGGGGGGGGGGGGGGGGGGGGGGGGGGGGGGGGGGGGGGGGGGGGGGGGGGCACGGCGTCTCCCACGATGGCGGAGACGGAGTGCGCGAAGTTCCGGGAAGAAAACGTCTGAACTCACGAATATCGGAAGGGCTACGCGTGCCGGTACCGGCACACCGGCGGTAACAACAACGGCGAAGGCATCATCACCAGGCTCGGCGGCGCCAAGAAGAGGGCGGGGGCAGACGCCAAAGGGGAGCCCGACGCGAAGAAATGAGAGCGCGGGCTCCGCAGGCAGGCGGGGCCCACGGGGGCAGGGGAGGTTACAGCATGGGGCGCGCGCGCGAGCGGGGACTGGGTCATGGGCGCGGAGACGGGGCCGGTGCCGGGGTCGGTGGCATCTGGAGCAGCAGGTACAGCACCGGGTGGCGCGGCTGAGGGAAAAGCAAGGTGGCGAGCAGCGCTATCGAGGCCCCGGGAAACGAAAACCGGGTCACCGGAACAATTGAAAATGATGACAGTGTTGGCCGATATGGCGTGGGCCGTGTTGTCTGAGAGTTTGGCCCCCGTATCCGCCCCGTGCCCTTCCCTTCCAATGCACAAACTGAACCAGCGAGTGAACCCCTTTTGAGCGCCCCCCCCCCGAAGGAAGAGATGATAGATGCTAGCGGAGGTGGAATCGGACGTGTCGTGCAGAGTCTGGGTGGACGTTTGTTGGCGCCTCATATGGATGCGAAAAAGATTGCCAGAAGTTTTGGGAGCTTTGAACACGTTGACGTGCTGGTAAACCATCGCAGTAGGACCGGGGGGAGACCTGAAGCATGGGTTAGCGTACGGAAACCATCCGAGCGCGCAAAAATGGCACGGAGCGATTTGGCAGAAGGTGGTGGAGGACGTAGAAGCAGGCAGGGCGGTGATGTTCAGGAGAGGAGTTGGCGAAAAAAGTTCCAGGTTTGCGGGTGTCCCCGGTCGGGGTGGTGGAGGAGAAAGAGAAACTTCGGGTGATACACGATCTGACTATACCAGTAGCGGAAGCAACGGGGGGGGGAAGGGCGGCCGGTGAATGCCACCACTTTTTTTGAAGAAATTCCGGCGTGCGGGATGGCGACTGTAATGAAGGAGGTGTTTGAACGGTCCCTGGGGCTAAGAGCTAGGTATCCAAGGAGGACGATAACGTTGCAAAAATGGACGTGAAAAGCGCGTTTCGCCAAGTTCCAGTAGACCCCGCAGGGGCACCGGTTTTCGGATATGTGGTAGGGGAATTCCTGGTAGTAGACCTTCGGTTGCAGTTCGGATGGCGGGGCAGTCCTGGGTGGTGGGGGTTGGTGGCGTCGGCGATAGAACACGTACACCGACAGACGACGAGAGACACGGTACGGGTAACGCATTCCGGGGTACGGGCAGCGGCACACGTAAAGATCGCTCCGCCAACGGGGAAAGCGATAGTGTCGATTCCACCGCAATGCAAGGTGCAGCCGGAGGTAGGGGGAGGGAAGAATGATCCGACGTTTTTGCGGTTTTTCGTGGATGATGCGATTAGCGTGGAAGTGCAGTGGGAAGACCAGGGGGAGCGGTGTCTGGANAGGCGAGGATAGGGGCACTGATGAGGATGATGGGAGCCTTGGAGACGATTGGGGGCTGGTGTTTTCAGGCGAGGCATATACCGGGCGTGGAGAATAGGCTAGCAGATGGCATAACGAGATGGAAGGATCAAGAGATCGCTGACAACTTGCAATCGGAATCGCCCGGAACACGTTGGCAGGTGCAGGAGCTGAAGGCCGAGGAGCAGCAGCTATGTGCAGAGATTTGCGCGAAGACGCACTTGGAAGAGTTGCAGAGTCGACTAGAAAAACTTACACGGGGACTTGGAACATGTGGATAAAGTGGAGGGAACGAGTGCAGAAGAGCCCATGGATTACGAAGGGGTCGGAGGAAGGGGAGATAGTGGAGGAGCTGGCGGAGTACATGGCTTACTGTAGTGCGTTTCTTGGAAACAGGGATTCGACCATCATGGGGAAGCTCGTGGCGGTAAATTTCTATCATCAACAGTTTCAGAACATGTCTTTGCCGTTGAGTAACCCGCACATCAAAGGGGTAGCGCAAGGTATTAAGAGAGGGCAAAGCAATAGTGAGGAGACATTTGACATGAGGGGTCTTGAGTGCAATGCAGTAGAGTGTTGGCGGTGAGGGTGCAGGGGGAAGAGTGCGATGGATCGGATTGGCATTGACATATATATCTGCTGATATTGAGGGCGTCAGAGTTGTTTGCGGAAAAGGATGGAAAAATCCACGAAGTGTACTGCCTGTGCAGGGGAGACGTAGCACTCTTCGAGGGCGATAAGCAGCTGGAAGGACAGGAGAGGTTGAGAGCAGATAAGATAGAAGTGCAGATGAGAGGCTCCAAGGGAGACCAAGGGAAGAAAGGAGCGGTGATGGTCAGGGAGACGGGGAGGGCGAACGGAGCGGTGGAATTGATGTTGGAACTATTCGGGATCTATGGAAGTTAAGGATTGAGTGCAACGGCACCACCATTGATGGTACACAGAAAGAAAGGGAAGTGGGAGGTATGGCAGAGAGGGAAGGCGACAGAACAAATGAGGAAGGGGATAAGAGCGGTGTCAAAGATGTGGTCGAAGGAAGGGAAAGGGGCAGGGGCGAAGTCAAAACCGGAAGAGTTCGCGTTACATTCGGGAAGGATAGGTGGGGCGACGAGGCTGGCCGCGAAAGGGGTACCGGAGGCGGTGATGAAGAAAGAAGGGAGGTGGTCGTTGAACGCATTCATGGAATACGTGAGGGCGAACATGCAAGATCCAGCATGGGTGTCGGCGGTGTTGGAAGAAGGTGAAGGGGTATTTGAGAGACAGCCGGGGCAAGGGACGGAATGGGGAAGAAATCATGAAGAGGGATCCAGAAGTAACAAGAACAAGACTTCGTGATGGGGAGGTTTGTGCCCAAGCTGGGCGACCAGCGGAATGTGGTCAGCCTGGTTCTTATCACTTAAGGAAGCGTATGGATTCCTTAGTAGGCTTAAGGGCCGGGAGGGAGGGGGAGAGTTCCACCTCCAAGACCCGGCCTTTGCGCGGCGACACAATAATGAAAATGGCATTTTTCGGGAAATGATAGACAAAAGTGGAAGGTTGTGGTACAACCTGGTGTTTTGTCAGAACGGTTAGAAAGATCAAAAGGGGGCACCGTAGGTAAGAGATAATTGATAGGTAGGTATGTATACCGAATATGAAAAGAAACAGGAAAGAGAGGTACCTTGCTCACAACAGAAGAGACATCTGAAAGAAAGAGCAAGACGACAAGCAAACAAGAGGAGGAGTAGAAGAGAGACAAAGGAGAAAGAAGGAAGCGAGTGTACGGAAGGGAGGAGACAGACAGAGAAAGAGAGCAAGAGCATTTCAAGCCGAGGTAAGCGTGTGTCGGGCGGAAGCTAGACATGGGTCTAGCATGCATGTTCTAGGCTGAAGCAGGGCATGGAAAGGCAAATGATGGTGTACAAGGAGGGTCAAGGTAACGGCCGTTTTAAACGGACCGACTTTTTTGTCAAAATTTTCGACATTTGTCTTTCAAAAACTTGGAACCTGTGTGCAGTCATGTTAAACGTGTGACGTGGACTTGTGCAACTTGAGTAAAAAAAAATGACGCCGTCCGTGAGTTGTAGCGCTCACTTCGAGACAACACATTAAGCGTGTCTCTGGCTGCGGAGCAGCAGGGCACGGAACGACCGGGTGAGCCGAGGTAAGCATGTTTGTTGGCGAGAGCGAGACATAGGAAGACCAGAAGGTCGGAAAGCATGCTCAAGCCATTGAAAGGCTGAATAATGAGAAGAGTATGGTCAAGGTAAGCGTGTCTCTGGCTTAAGAGCAGGACATGGAACGACCGTTAAGCCGAGGTAAGCGTGCTCTGGCGAAAGCGAAGGCTTGAGCAAAGCATGGAAAGGCATGGAGGAGGAGGTTTGTGTCCAAGCTGGGCGACCAGCGGAATGTAGTCAGCCTGGTTCTTATTACTTGAGGAAGCGTGTAGATTCCTTAGTAGTCTTAAGGGCCGGGAGGGAGGGGGAGAGTTCCACCTCCAAGACCCGGCCTTTGCGCGGCGACACAATAATGAAAATGACATTTTTCGGGAAGTGAGAGACAAAAGGGACAGCGAAAAAAGATCACCCCATCCTGTCCCTTTTTGGCCAACTTTGTGACAGGGTTGGACTGTCCAAAAATCAATGCAGAGTTGGACAAAGCCAGCACGGCAGTTCGTTCTTCATTTGCATGCCGTCTCCATTACATCCATCCCTTGCACACTGCTTCTCGACTGCTGGTCGCGCTCGGCAGTCTTGTGGTTCACCCGGTCGCTCTTCTGTCATGCACAGCACAACATAATAAATATTGAGACCGGAAAGCTCTCTGCAGGTGTAGCTATTTTATGTAGTTAGTTTGTGTCAACCCTGTACCCTGTACCCATTTACAGCAGTACAGCAGTACACAAGTAGCGAAAATCGTTCGTCACCTCGGTATTGCTGTACCGCAGTATTAATTGACAGCACTGCAGCATTATCAGGAAGTCTACTACTACTGGTGTATGTAGAGCTGCGCCTACTTAGGCAGCAGGACGATACTGTATATCTACCTTCGGGCGGGTTCCGAGCTAAAGCCGAATTTATTTGGGGGGGGGGGGGAACGGATCGTCACCATCCCCCCCCCTGTCTTCGAAAAAATTATCCCATGATCCTTGGCCATAATGATGATGCTGTGCAAAATTTGAAAATCAAACTCGTTCATCTTACCCGGGTTTCAACACACTTTACCTATATCAGGCGGCTAAAAAATGAAAACGCAAAACCCGGGGATGGCCGCTAAATATCCCCGGGTTTGAAAAGTGCTCCGATCGATCTGAAATTTTCAGGTCAAGGTAATTTTGGGGTGGAGAAAACGAATGCGGCGTCAAAAATTTCGAATTCGAAATATATACTGAGTTACAGTGCC